TATTTTTAGTAGAGATAGGGTTTCACCGTGTTAGCCAGGATGGTCTCCATCTCCTGACCTCGTGATCCGCCGCCCCTTGGCCTCCCAAAGTGCTGGGATTACAGGCATGAGCCACTGCGCCCAGCCTACTCAAACAATTTTTTCAAAAAACCCTTAACAAAAGGGGATGCAGTTCTGACAGGCTGTTTCTAACTGCAAAGCTTGGTTACATTATCTAAAATTAGAAACAGTACTCTGAAGCAAATAAGTAAATGATAACAAATGTTAATTTAGAGGATGAGTACCTAAGTGTCTGTTACTATATTTCATCAGATCGAAGGACATTATTTTAAGTCATACACATTTTTTTTTTTTTTTGAGACAGGGTCTCGCTCTGATGCTCAGGCTGCAGTGGCACAAACACAGCTCACTGCAGTCTCTACCTCCCAGGATCCCACCTTACCCCTCAAGTAGCTGGGACCATGGGCACACACCATCACGCCCAGCTAAATTTTGTAGTTTTTGTAGAGACAGGTTTTCACCATGTTGCCCAGGCTGGTCTCAACCTCCTGATCTCAAATGATCTGCCTGCCTCGGCTTCCCAAAGTGCTGGAATTATAGACATGAGCCACCATGCCTGGCCCACATACAAATTTTAAAGGTAGTAAAATGCCAGAAAAAGGCCAGGCGCGGTGGCTCACACCTGTAATCCCAGCACTTTGGGAGGCTGAGGCAGGCAGATCACTTGAGGTCAGGAGTTTGAGATCAGCCTGGCCAACATGATGAATCCTCGTTTCTACTAAAAAATACAAAAAATTAGCCGGATGTGGTGGCACCCTCCTGTAGTCCCAGCTATTAGGGAGGCTGAGGCAGAAGAGTCACTTTAACCTGGGAGGTGGAGGCTGCAGTGAGCTGAGGTCACACCACTGCACCCCAGCCTGGGCGACAGAGAAAGACTCCCATCTCAGAAAAAAAAAGGCCAGAAAAAACTGCTTATCTTACAATGAATGAATTATTTTTTGCTCTTTTTTCAATATTTAGAGAAATTCTAGGGCCAGGAACAGTGGCTTACTCCTGTAATCCCAGCACTTTGGGAGGCTGAGGTGAGCAGATCATTTGAGGTCAGGAGTTCGAGACCAGTCTAGCCAACATGGCAAAACCCCATCTGTACTAAATACAAAAATTAGCCGGGCGTGGTGGTGCACATCTGTAATCCCAACTACTTAGGAGGCTGAGGCATAAGAATCACTTGAACCCAGGAGACAGAGGTTTCAGAGAGCCGAGAGAGTACCACTGCACTGAAGCCTAGGCAACAGAGGCAAGACTCTGTCTCAAAAAAATAAAAAACAAAATAAATTCTAATTTGTAATTTTCTTTAAAATCCTTTATCCTTCTACATGGGAAATTAACTCTGAGTTAACATTCTAGCTATTTCCCTAGAAACTTAACAAAGGTCAGCTATCTTAACAAGCAAGATTGCTTTTGTTAAAAATGACACCTGGCTGGTAACCACACTTGGAATAGGAGGGTCGGCAATGGTGGCAAGAAATTCCTTTGAGCTTTCTTGAACATGTGACTCCTAAAATTGAGCATGATCTTTCTAGGATCTGTAGAAGCCATGCCCATCCCTGGGGCTTCTAAGCCAGAGTGGATCCCCTACCCACTGATATGATCTCATCTCCTCATACCTGAACAGTCACCTTAGGAACCAGAGGCTACCTATATTCTGCTAAGAGCATTCTGCAGAAGAAACGTACCTAAGGCTATCCTGCTATATTTCTGAGTAAACTGGTAGCAAATGTCGTCTATTTGAGTCTTGTGTGGTGTAAGATGTCTCATTAAGCCTAATACCCTGAGAATAGGTACTGAGGCCCCTCCACTATCAACTAGACCATTTATACATTATTTGCAAGAGAAATATTTCTTTTACAAAACATGAGTCTACTCTGTACCAGCACTCTTCTAAAACTTATATTGATATTTTCCCCTTTAAGCTTCTAAAATTCCTCAGATTTGACTGCCTCCAAACAAAATGTCCCTCAAAGGATTCAAAAGTTTATTTTGCCATCATCTAAAAAGAAATACAGTCTGGACGGGCACGGTGGCTCACACCTGTAATCCCAGCACTTTCGGAGGCCAAGGTGGGTGGATCACGAGGTCAGGGGTTAAAGACCAGCCTGACCAACATGGTGAAACCCCATCTCTACTAAAAATACAAAAAGTAGCTGGGCGTGGTGGCAGACGCCTGTAATCCCAGCTACTCAGGAGGCTGAGGCAGGAGAACTGCTTGAACCCAGGAGGCGGAGGTTGCAGTGAGCCGAGATTGTGCCACTGCCCTCCTGCCTGGGTGAGAGCGAGACTCTGTCTCAAAAAAAAAAAAGAAATACAGTCCTTCTTGCCTGCAGATACAACACCTAGGACAGTAACTAGTATATAGTAGGCAGGGGTGAACTATGAGGCAGCTATGTCAGTAACAAAAACTGCTGAGACCAACTGCCTAAGCTCAAGTCCTCAAAATAATCTCTTAGATTCATCAAGTGAAATAAAATCCAAAACGGCTTGAGTCTAAATAAAATGTAGAAAAATTGACAAAGATTTCACCATACCTGGTTTGTTGGAATGAATCGCCAACATGGCAGAGAATACCTTGCTAAGTTGAGTTTTAGTAGCCTGTAAAAAAGCAAAATATTTCTACTTCCTGCACAGATAAATCATTGCTCTTACTCGCTAAGTAATGTGAACCCTAACTTTACCAACTGTAAAATCCAATGAAGCATGACATGCTATTGCTAGGGACATACAAACGAACACAGACCCTCATAATTTTCTACCTCAATTAAACCACAAAACACTTTAAATATCTTTAAAAAATCAGCTGTATTGAACAAATACACGTAAAAACTATATTCTTTTCAATTGACTTGGAAACCATTAAGAGTCATTTAGATATCCAATGTTATATTGATGTTCCACCTTCTTGGGTTCTTTTTTCATTTGTTAACCCTACACTTCAGGAAAAAACATCTGACATGAAGCTTAAAGGGCAGATTAACAAAAATATGGCCAGAGGAAGTAAGACATGCACGGCTTTACTTACCCACTTCTTACAAAAAACCACATAGGAGAGCCAAAGTTGAACATCATCCTGCAAGAAAAGCAATGTAGTAAGCTGCCCGAATTTGACCTTTACATATAATACACCTTCGCATTAATTAGCTTTGCTAAAAACAAGCTGATTTCAGGTTGGGTGCGGTGGCTCACGCCTGTAATCCCAACACTTTGTGAGGCCAAAGTGGGCGGATCACTTGAGGTCAGG